ACGTATCGTCTCACCGGGCACGCGGATAGTGTTTGGGATCTAGTGGGCGATATTCATTCTGGCCGTTCGCACTCCATTCTCAATATGTTGCGCGACCATATCACGGCGGAAGCTGAGGACACGGCCATAGTGGCTAAGGCGGCCAATTAAGGCCGTATCCGGCAGCTTCGCTGGCGCCTCGTATACTTTCACAATTGCAAGACGGCTCTCGTAGTCGCCAAGAAAGGTCTTCAGCCCCTCGATCTTAACGTATGGCGTTTCAAGAGCAACCTCTTTCGCGGCACGCGATACAACAGAGACTACCCTGGACTTGTTCGAACTTTTCCTCTGGACTGTGCCGATTGAGTCAATGTCAATGCCAGCGGCATCAATGCCACCCAAAATAGCCTGGGTGGTAACCAAGGTGTCCACGGAAAAATACACTGACCGGTCTTTGATGATCTTGGTTTGCCCTGAGCCCATAAATGGTACACCTGTAAAACGCACACCACTGTTTTCAAGGAGTTTTAAGGCCTCCGGGATATCAAGCTCGGACGATGTTGCCCAGGTTCCGACGGATTCGGGGCCATCGGTGGTACTGGTAAACTGCTCAATAACTTGGCTCTCCTGGCTTTCCATTATCAAAACTGAAAGAAAAAAAGAGAATACTGATTTTCATAGGTTAAAAGGCTGAGAAGCTTTTTAAGTTTTGAAAAGGGTTTATTCATAATAAACCACCTAAGTTACAAAATAAAAGTGCTAACGCACGTGGGCCTGGCCCCAACTAATTATTAACAAACAGTTCAAAGTTCCAAAGTTCAAGAGTTCTTAAATATATACGAGTATTAAATATTACCAATATTAATGTAAGGTATTAATTCCAAAATAATTCCAAAATAGTTAGGTCTAATATTAATATAAACTTAATCTATAATCAGATACAATGAATATATGAAGTTCATATATTTTGATTTTCGCTATTGCATAAATAGCGCTCTCTACTGCGAGGATCGTGCATCATACATTAATCTATAATGGTGGTATGGCTAGGGCTTATGTAGACGCTAGGATTGTTTAATGCTAATTCTAAGTTGTAAATGATTCAAGTTAATTTAATCTAATGTTAACTAAAGCTTAAGGTAATCTATTTACAAAAGTATTCTTTAGAGTCCTCATCGATTGTACAGATTGATGGGGACTCCCAAGCGTTTCTAAAGTTAGATAACGAGAGTCGGAAGTAGTCGCATGCAATTTTATTTTTGGTCTCGCTGAGGGCATAGCGAATTATACCCTGAGGGGGGTCATTCCCATTGTGGAAGGTAGATTTATTTTGAAATTTCCAGATGCTGTACAGAATTGTCTTAATTTGGAAAGCGAGCAACACAATTCTGTTTTGGGCTAGTGGGGTCCAACGAAAAAAGAAAACATAGGTACACGATGGGAGAAAGCTAGTTCCAAGGATAGAGGAGATAACAGGGGAAAAGTGGGACCACACTTATTTCACACAGGGGCAATTGAGAAAACAGTGATCTATAGTTTCTTTCCGGGAACAGAAGGCGCACTTATCTGAGTCGATATATCCCCAATTCTTTAGAGAATC